GTGTGGTCCATGACCCAGAGCTCATTGCTAAAACTTTCCACGCCTACTACTCGGACCTTTATAATCTCAGCAAGAAGACTTCCTCTCCAACATTACAAAACACAAAAATTCCCCAGCCTCAACCTGCCAGCCAGCCTGCAACCAAACAAGTAGCCCTGTCAACAGTATGCGTTAAAATCACATTGAGACATTCTCCAATATATTTAATCCACCCCCTCCCTACCTTACCTGAGGAGTCAAAAAATGAACTTGGCTGTCCCTTTACTCAAGAAATACTTGGCATAATACAGTCCCTACCCCCCAGAAAAAGCCCTGGCCTGGACGGGTATACAGGCACCTTTTACAAACATTTTCGAAACTCGATGACACCTATCCTAGAACAAACCTTCAACTCCATCTCCCACACTTGCAAGTTTATCCCCGAAACACAAGAAGCCCATGTCACAACCTTGCTAAAAGATGGCAAAGACCCTACTATATGCTCGAGCTACAGGCCAATATCACTCATCAACATTGACCTGAAATTCTTCGCCAAGCTCATTGCTAACAGATTGGGGCGATATATTACGACTCTTATCCACCGTGAACAAGTGGGATTCATCCCCTTTCGCGAAGCGAGAGACAATACCTTGAAAACTTTGACCTTGCTCCATTATGCCAAATCTCGTAAGATACTCCTATGCCTTCTTTCAGTCGATGCCGAGAAGGCGTTTGACTGCCTCAACTGGGATATTCTTTTACTCACCCTTGAACAGATTGGCCTCCCTTCTACCTTCATCTCCCACATTAGATCCCTCTATTATTCCCCCACGGCTATGGAACGTGTCAATGGTCTTCTTTCGGACCCCATTCCTATTCGTAACGGCACTCGTCAGGGCTGCCCCCTTTCGCCATACCTATATGTCCTCGCTATGGAACACTTGGCAGAGGCCATCAGATTGAATTCATTGATTCAAGGTATACCTATAGCCAATGTCGAACATAAAATAAGCCTTCTATACGTTAAGAATCCTAAAATTGGATTCCCATCCCTTTTGGAAGCATTCTGCAAGTTAGGCAGAGTTAGCCACTTTAAAGTCAACCTGCACAAAACAGAAGCTCTTGACATCTCCCTCCCCTCATTAGAAACCTCACAACTTCAAATCTTAATTCCCATTTCCCTAGCAACAGCACCACATTAAATACCTGGGGATCCTCATCCCCCCAACCTAGAGGATCTTTATAGAATTAACTATTTGTCCTTATTACAAAAAACCATTGCCAAGCTCCGTTACTGGAGCTCTCTCAAAACATACCTCGTTAGGCCATATGTCCTTGTTCAAAATGGATATTCACCCCAGCTTCCTCTACCTGTTTCAAACAGTGCCCATCTTCCTTCCGGCTTCCTTTTTCAAACAATTAAAATCTTCTCTCCTTAAAGGAGAACTATGGGGTGAAGGCTTTTCCCCATAGTTCTCCTTAGGGTTACAGGAGGACACAAACTAGCGTCCTCCCGTCACCCTAGGCTCAGTATACCACGAGCTATGGAGCTCGCGGTATACTGAGACACCGCAGCTGAAGCGGATCACGACAATTGTGCCGGGATCCGCCCAGCTGTGTGAATAACAGCTGGCTCTGCCTATCTAGAGGCAGAGCCAGCTGTACCCCCCCCCTCCCCGGTCTGCCAGTCAGCGCTGGCGGATCGGAGCGGGGGGAATTCAGCCCCTCCCGTCACGGCAGACAGCCGTGAAAGGATCGAGAGGTGAGCGAACGCCGGTATGTGTTTGCTCACCTCCCGATCTACTGAGCCGACCTGGGACAGTCTCATTGTCACAGGTTGGCTAGAACTATTAGGTGAGTGAAAAGCACTCACCTCATAGTACTCCTTTAAGTACATAAGTACATTTGGGCCCATAAACCAGAGTATGTATTTTAACCCCTTCATGACTGAGGCCCTTTTTTCATTTTTTGCACCCATGTAACACTGTACGTCGTCAGTCACGAAGGGGTTAATGATTTATTTGTGAAGTGAAATAATTCTTACTTCAGGGCCCATCTTTCTTCCCATTATACTCTATGGGCATTCTTGGTGTCATTCACCCTTGTCATTCCATAGAAAATTTTAAAAAAACACGACTAAATCACAATTTTAAACAATGCTACTGTGCTTGGAGAGTATGTCTGCTAACGATTTATTTGATGTGTCAAATGGCTCTCAACTCCAAGGCCCATTTTCTTCCCATTATACTCATTGGACATTCTTGGTGTCATTCACCCTTGTCATTCCTTTAAAAAATAATGATAAATCCACCTAATCTCAATGTTGAAAAATGCTACTGTGCTTGGAGAGTATGCCCGCTACAGATTTATTTAATGTGTCAAATGGTTCTTTCTCCAAGGCCCATCTTTCTTCCCATTATACTCTATGGGCATTCTTGGTGTCAATAACCCTTGTGATTACATAGAAAACAGGACAAATCCAAAATCATTTCAATTGTAAATGATGTTACTATACACAGGGATGACCTGTGGTAAAGGATAACTTGATATCTTTTTCAGATTTGCGTACAAATGATCTGATACTTTGCTTCCCATTATACTCTATGGGCACTCCTCTATGGCCGGTTTCATTATAGTCTATGGGCATTCCCTTACCCTGTCAAAGTCTATGGGCATTCCTTTTAGTATGCCCCTATTTTTCCCTTAAAGGAGAACTATGGGGTCAGTGTTTTTCCCCATAGTTCTCCTTAGGGTAACGGGAGGACACAAACTAGCGTCCTCCCGTTACCCTAAGCTCAGTATACCGCGAGCTACAGCTCGCGTTATACTGAGACGCCGCAGCGGATCCCGACGTAGATGACGGGATCCGCCCAGCTGCGTGAGTGACAGCTGGCTCTGCCTAGCTAGAGGCAGAGCCAGCTGTACCCGCCCCCTCCCCGTCCGTTCCGCCAGTCAGCGCTGAACACAAAGATCGCCGGTCCCGGGCCCGTAGGAGGGGCAACGGAGCCCGGGAAGCACGGCGGGGTGTCCGGCGGGGGGGGGCGGCCCCTTCTTCGGGACGCAGAAGCGATCTGGCGACAGGTAAGTCGCCAGGATCGCTTCTGTTGTAAAGCCGACAGTCGGCTCTACAAGTTTAAACAGAGTCCCGGCGGCAAAAGTCTGTACACTGTACGTCGTCAGTCACGAAGGGGTTAATGATTTATTTGTGAAGTGAAATAATTCTTACTTCAGGGCCCATCTTTCTTCCCATTATACTCTATGGGCATTCTTGGTGTCATTCACCCTTGTCATTCCATAGAAAATTTTAAAAAAACACGACTAAATCACAATTTTAAACAATGCTACTGTGCTTGGAGAGTATGTCTGCTAACGATTTATTTGATGTGTCAAATGGCTCTCAACTCCAAGGCCCATTTTCTTCCCATTATACTCATTGGACATTCTTGGTGTCATTCACCCTTGTCATTCCTTTAAAAAATAATGATAAATCCACCTAATCTCAATGTTGAAAAATGCTACTGTGCTTGGAGAGTATGCCCGCTACAGATTTATTTAATGTGTCAAATGGTTCTTTCTCCAAGGCCCATCTTTCTTCCCATTATACTCTATGGGCATTCTTGGTGTCAATAACCCTTGTGATTACATAGAAAACAGGACAAATCCAAAATCATTTCAATTGTAAATGATGTTACTATACACAGGGATGACCTGTGGTAAAGGATAACTTGATATCTTTTTCAGATTTGCGTACAAATGATCTGATACTTTGCTTCCCATTATACTCTATGGGCACTCCTCTATGGCCGGTTTCATTATAGTCTATGGGCATTCCCTTACCCTGTCAAAGTCTATGGGCATTCCTTTTAGTATGCCCCTATTTTTCCCTTAAAGGAGAACTATGGGGTCAGTGTTTTTCCCCATAGTTCTCCTTAGGGTAACGGGAGGACACAAACTAGCGTCCTCCCGTTACCCTAAGCTCAGTATACCGCGAGCTACAGC